ACACACACACACACACACACACACACACACACACACCTGTCTCTAACAGTATAATCGAATCAGACCGGAGGTTGCGAATGTGAACCCCGTCACCAAACACCACCATGGTCTTGGTTAATTTTCAAAAACCATCGAAACAGATACAAATCGCTCTCCCCCCCTATCAATTTCAATAATATCATAATAACAGTAGATATGAAAATCACGGTGCCAACTTGCTTACTACGAAGCCGGGTTAAGAATGGTTTTAAACAGTTGTCAAACTACTGAAAGAGAAATTCGCAATAAATCAGAACAGGTTATTGTCAGCAGCAGACAGATTGATACATCTGTCTTGCTGTTATGCGTTGATGGTATATGCACAATTCAGAAGGACTTGGTCAACTGAATGGGTTCATCTGAGTTACCCAATTAACATATGCCCTGGGACCCGGACGAAAGTTGGAAGTAGGAACGAAGCAAAAACAGACAATTATAAAACGGTAACCAAAGGTACCAGACATATCCAGAAGGTCGTTCAATAGGACGGTTAAACGGCTCTCGAGTCCGTGTTGTTCCCGTTTGTCGTTAGTTACCTCGATTTCTTTCATCAAATTAAATTCTAGCTAAGAAGATACGGTGGATGTGCAACCGGTCCTTTTACGTTCGTCATCGACTCAAATATGTGTTACACAGTCAGTTGGTTTTCATTAGTTGAAAGTGCTTTGAACAAGTTAATCCAGTCTGTTCCTAATCGCAAACAATGGCAACACAAATAGCGCTAGTAGTCAGTTACACCCTTCATCATCGTCCCGTATGAAAACAGCATATACGGCAAAAATTGAGCTTCTGATGACTTGTTCAAATACCCAATGAAATGAACTAGTTGAATTAAAAAAATATTTCCTTTCTGGATACAGATTACTTGCTTTCACTAGCTTCATACAATATTCCTAAAACCGTACGTCTGATTAGCTATTGTTCCTTCAATCATAATTTGTTTTACTTATTTACTTACTTTACTTACTTACTTACTTTACTTACTTTACTTAATTTCCTGAAGCAGTCAACCGCACCAAAACGTTTTTCTGTCTACATCAGTGTGTGCCGTCACGATCTGATGAGCGGAATTCCTTGAAGTGCACAGATGTGTTATACAGCCAGCCGCGCCCCCACAAGTTGATACTTCTTGCAAGCTAACCCTGAGGTGTTGGTAATAAGTGATGTTGGAAACATTCAGCCTGATGTGACCACGCTTTGTTTGGGTGATCCAAATCACGTGACACTGCATACACGCATGCATGCTTGTAGCATAACCGATGACAACAGCAGGAAGAAGAGCCAGATATAAAAAAAAGTTGTAAATTAACACCGTCCGAGGAGCAAACACAGAACAACGACAACACTCTCACTGTGGTCTGTCTTACAAAGTTTGGTATACTTCAGCACACGCCCGCAGCGACCCCGGTACACACTCCGCCTCCACACACCCGATCGTCTACGTATTCACCTCTGCATATTCACAGGCTGGTATCTTCAGTTGTCATCCGAGACGAATTCATACATTTCATTTTGTCCGGTCCGCCATTCGTCATGCATAATCATGACATTCCCCATACGGCACTGGACTGAGTGTCTGACTAAGCTGATACGCGGAGCATTTGCATACTGCTACAATGCTCTGTTGTGCTATACTAGTGTGTGTGAGAGAGAGAGAGAGTGCGCATGTGTGTGCACAGTGCCATCCGTGTTCGAGTTTGCCGTGTGAAACACCGAAACAGTCGAGAGGAAACCCAATCGAAATTGGTTGACTAGTTAACAATATATATAGATATGGATGTATAGTTGCGACATGCATCGCGGTCACACACGAAATAAACATATCCGAAGTGAGGACATATTAGGCGGAGGTGAGACATCGATAATCTAAAGGCTTGCAATAAAACCCTTGTATGATCAGACTGTTGACGTTCAACAAATGACAAAAAGTTGAATCCTTTGTTACAATTGCGGGTTGTATTGCGTGAACTGAAAACAGCGGCCAGCACGTTTTTTCGCATGCTGAACTTTGGATAGCATCAATCACTTTGTCGATACCTATGAGGTCCCAATGTTCACCGAGACGATTGGTCAGGAGGATACCCTGACGGTTTGGGTAAATGTAAGGCAGATGGCCTCAGACATATATGCATATAATGTATTGGAAACAATGGTGACTACTGCGTCTCTGATAGTCGGCGAGTTTCATCCTTTTGTTGAAATCCCGGATTGAGCATGGCGTTTTTTTTTCTTTGACCAGCGCTTGGGTATAGAGAATGGCGGTTGATATTCCGATCAACCAATCAATCAGGAAGTATACACTCCTTATATAAGTATCTCTGTCGACCATCGCGGTAGTAGTAGTAGTAGCAGTATTCGAAACACATCATTCATAGCTCAGAACTTTTCATCACATCGTTGAACTGCCTACTGGATATTGCTTAAAAGCCTATACAGATGGCTTCCCGCATGTCTAGGTTTTCGAACAGATAGGCTAACAAGCGGAACGATCAATTTTTACAACCACAAAGTTACAACGGCATTAAAGCACTGCCATTTACTCCCTCTCTTTCTTTCGGGCCCCGGCACGCGCTCGTCTTCTGAGAAAAGCATTCCTGTCGGGAAAAGTTTCGCTCTGGAAATGATGTGGAATGGTTGTAGCTCGGGATGCGAATGTTGGTATTGATATGTTCTCTGAAGTGTTGTTCGCAGACGTTTCGTAGCCAGGCTAGGCAACATCATTCACTGTGACTTCCCCGATGTCAGCTGGTTGCAGACAATCGTTATCAAAGAAAACACGCAATACAGTCTAGTGCTAGTTGATTGAAACCGAATTAAAGTCAAATTAGCTTGCTCGGAAAGAGCAAACGATTGTAAATTATGCTTTGATAGCCCACTTTTTCAATTTTTATTGCAAATTTTAATGTGTCCTGTGGTAATGCAGCTACTGTTCTACTTCGTCCAGAAACACTAAAAAAGACCATCCTTAATCTTTGAGATGAACAGTGAGGGTCGTCAACAGTAGTGCCCGCATCGGTCATGGTGGATTACAGATTCAACTGTATGCGTACAGACGTTGTAAAACGGGTCAGATACAGTTCAGGGCCCATAATCGCCTACAGAAATCGAGGGAAATGAACCAAACTTTACAAAGGTTATCTCTTTTAGAAATGGAAAAGTGGATCAACGATTGTGGTAGGTTCCTACACGCAACTGAGAAAGAATACTGATTTCGGGGAGACGGGAAAAACAGTCAATAAATGACCACTTCTCATCTCCGCACCGCCAAAAAAAGAAACACGAAAGTTCCACGACTGAGTAATTTAATAATTATTTATAAAAGAATTATTGACCAGCACAGGTTTGATTGTGAATAACCCGCTTAATCAAATGCATCTGATCAGAGAAATGGCATTCCAGTTAAGGGAACATCAATTCGCGATCCGCCTTCTTCTCCTTCACCTCCCCAATTCACCCCCGGTCCCCCCCCACCACCCATCCAGTTGCTCTTCACCAGTTTCGATGTGAATGGTTGACGCCACTATATGGGAACAAATGAGATAATTCGATTTTCCTCTCCGTGTCCCATTTATGAGACCTAGCAATAAAATACTAGGCACTGATGGAGAAAAAGGAATCTTTGTCAAGTTTCATGCATGGAAATCAAAACCACTGTTCAGTAGGCCTCCGTTCACTTTATTCATCAAAATGGTAATCGTGTATCAGCCTAGCTGAAGCATACCTAGAAAATATAAGCTTATTTAAAATGTGTAATACTACCCAGGGAGTTAGTGTATCATGTGAAAATTTGACTCATGAATAAATCAGTCAAACTTACTTCGAGGCATGCTCACAATCAGTTCCGTTTTAGACGATTGAACCACATTCATTTCAGTCATAATTTCCGATACACCTGGCAATACCGAGCCTTGACTGACTAGGACTGTACCCTGATCCGGGGGAGTTGAGTTTTGCGTTTCACCGGGTAGAGGGACTCTGAACCGCAACAACTCCAAATCCTCACAGGTGACCTTCCGTCCAGAACGTGAACAAGAACTTGTGGTCGGGTGGGACAAATGTGCCCGCGCGTACATCGAATTTCCATTTTTATTACTACCAGCCTCGCAGGAGATGGCCACACAAGTCAAGTTCAGTGTTTTCTCACTCTCCGGTGAAATTTGCTTCTCGGAAGAAATGATGCCGATCTGTGGATAGTAGACTGTGACGCAATCATGAACGACATGGGAATGGTGGGGAGAAAAGGATTGGATTGGAGAAAGAGGTGAGAACAAGCAAGATGAAGTGTCAGTGGTCATTTGATGACGTTGATGGTGCGAGGAGTGCGGTTGATTAATGGAGCAATATTCTGTGCTGGAATTTACTTTGCACATTTGAAGCTGCATATTCCCTTCGAGTTTCCGTAAAAAATTTTTTTACCTTTGTGTCAAAGATTAAATATAGACCTTTTACAAATGAATCACGGGACAACTTTGTTCAACGTGGTCAAAGCTTTTTCACCGTGTAAAATGACCATCGTAGACAATAATGTATTACCGCGCGCCACTTTCTCATTGGCGCTTCAGACCTAAAAATGTCCTGAAGTTGTGTTTATAAGTGATCTTTTACAAAAACCTGATTGAAGAAGCGTATTGATGACTCTGTAACCATTGTGGATAACCCTGATTATCTTACAAGAGCTGGAAAGAACTGAGCATGGATGGACCAATCACGAACATCTTCAAGCGCACCAATGCACAATCCAACAAGTAAAAGTGGGTAGTCTGTTCACAAACCGGATACAGCCTATTTTCCCGGGGGCATGAAATTGAAACACTCGACTTAACCAATTCCCAATCAAGTGTTGTTTCTGTGCGTACCACAGGGAAATAATCTCAAGTCAGATAGATGCGAATTGAATCCCATTCTGCAGAGTTCACCTGGATACGTTTTCCATGGAATTTTTTCAGTCTAAATCTGTGGCTTTAGCGTCAAATGAACTCTCAGATTGTCATTAAAGACGTCTTCTGAAACCAAATTGGTCAGTAATTCTGGTCATTTGACGTGCAGTTCATTGGAATAATGGTAATACACACCCACACCCATACACTTTTAATACAAGAAATCTCAAATTGAAATCTTGGATCGGCGGATAGGTACATAGTACCACTGAGCCGTAATGGTGGCTAAACTAAGCTCTGGTTCATCCCAGACCTAAGACTGATTTGATGAACTGAGAGAGGAATGGAGATGTATTCTGAAGGAAGGTCAGTCCGAATCGACATACTTTGTCTCACACACCTACTCACGAGTAACTGTGGGTAAAAGTGAGTGATAATCTAGCCACTTCGCATCCGGTTTCTCATCAGACGATGACTGGGGTTTCTTCGGAATGCACTGGTCAATGTTTGTTATTCCTTGTAGTGTTTAACCGCCCACAGACACAACAGTCTTAGGACTTTTATCATTGAATGAACCGTAAACTTCTGGCCTTTGGGCTTGCCAGACAACTCGTTCTTTCTGCACGTGTACAAACACATATGTGTCAGTCAGATAGAACAGGTAAGGGGATCACCATGTCCGTAGGTGATTTTTGTTTCTACACGATGAAACATTCTTGTGAAACATCACTTCTTGCATTGATTGAGGTGAGCTTTCAAATAATGTAAGCGCAGCTGTAAGTGGAATGCAAATTAAAATCTAGCAGAGCAAATGTACACCGATAGATTTTACCAAACCCACATGGAAGATCTGATTTGGTGCGAGGTGATCCATTGGAGCGAATAGAGTCTGTGCTGTGTCCCTCCTCATTGTTGTCGGGTCAACTGAACTGTGTTGCTTGTCGGTCAAGATGAAAGTTGAACGAAACTGAATGGGGGATTATGCTCGGTCCCGGTTTGAGCTGGTTAGCGCAGTGGTAACATTAACGTCATGCATGTGTGTGTGGGGGGGGGGAGTGGGGTCGGAGTTCAAACCCTGAACGAATCAGATATGTCCTAACGATTGGCTCTAACAAGAGCGCTTTATTTGCATGTACAGTTAACTGAATAAATTGCGAATTGTGTGAGCAGATTAGGTCAGATTAGGGCAGTCAATCAAATCAGTCAAAGTCAAAGTTGTATAATGGGAATTGTTTATATGCTCAAGCTTGTCTTGTCCCCATAGGATATTTACACAATTGAATCGTTTCACAGCAAAACGATTCCGGATAGGAGATAACAGAGAATGTAGGCTTCAGCGAATTTGCGTTTGCTTTTAGTGGTGTAGGAATGTGAGGTGTACCAAGGTTTCATCGAGTCTCAGCTTGAAAGATTCAATAATTGGTGCACAAACGACATAAGAGGGAAGCTTGTTCCAAGTACTGCATATTCTGAATGCAAAAGATTGGCACCGGCATTCTAGTCGGCACTTTGGAATCAGTAATTTGAAACGGTGTCTCCTAAGGTGTGCATTGTTCGATAACATAATCAGCGACCGAAATGGATGGTTTGGGTTCTGCAGTATTTATACGTCAAAATCAAATCTCCCCGAATTCGGTGGTACTGAGCAGAATATAGTCCCAATGATCGTAGTCATGTAGTGATTGCTACCCTTACGAGCAATCAAGTTACCGTGGTTAGTTAGGCGTTTTATCCAACACGTAACATACCGGTATTTATTCTAAACACAGGCCATCGAATAAGCTTCCACGACGTGCACACTTAGCTGAGGTAAATATTAGCCGGACGAAGGTCAACACTGGGCAAACTTTGATGTGACAAACGTTTAACAAGAGACTTGGTCAAAAATACGGCAACAAGCCTGCCGGTCGAGGACCTCAGAACAAACACAGTCAACGGTTAGAAACCCCGGGTGATATGAGTGACGACATTAAACAGTTGCCTTCACGAATTAGTTCACTTTCATTCACATTTCAGTTACCA